GATACAGGATAAGGCACTGAAGGAGTTCTTCAGGGAGAAACGTCGGCACTTGGAGCCGGTGGGACATGGTGGTGAGGGAGGGCGGTACAAGTTTTGACCCCAGGTTCATGGTGGCGTCGTGCATGGGGTAAGGGAGGATGGTTGAGGCCCAGCCCCAGAAGGAGCCCGGGCTGCTCTTAGCTGTGGGGATGGAAGCCTACGGGAGGTGCACAAACATTTGTTGAACAAATAAGTGAGCAAATAAAGGCACGAGTGAGGTACCTCTGCGTCACCCAAGTGCAGAGAGCAAGAAGGTGATTGGGTCTACGGGTCTACTTGGGTGGGGGGGAACAGAGGAGATACCTGGAGCTAAAACACAAATGAGGTGGTGCAGACGGAAGCCCCCACCTTCCCCCCACTACCGTCTGGAAGCACTCACAGCCCAGCCCGGTGAGCCGCCACCCTGCTGGCTTCTCCAGCCTGTGTCCTCCCCTCTATTGATGAAGCCTCCATCACCAGGTCTCATTGCAGGAAGAGGAAGGAGCAGGAGGAGGAAAAGGGAGTGTGGCCTTGACTGCATGAAGCTAGACAAACCCTTCCTATCCTGACGGAAGGGAGGTAAGCGTGTCTCAGCAGAGCCCAGGGGAGACAACAGGTCAACAGGGTCTACGAGAGAGGGGGGCAGAGCCGTAGGGAGGGCCGTGGCTTGAGCGGCAGGTGTGTGGCCCAGACATCGGCAGAGCCCCAGACACCCATCTCCCTAATCCGCACAGCAGTCCCAGGGCATCACGGGGAACGCCATCACCTTCCAGGTGAGGGGAGAACCATTAAAGGGTCCCATGTCCTCTGATCCCTAGACGCCAGGTGCAGAGGCCTCGGGATACCATCTGTTGTCTGGAGAAGTCAGCCCAGGCGAGGCTGGCCGGGGGCTCATCTGACTCGGCTTTCTGTGGGTGCTGAGGAGGTGCCTACAGCAGGCTCAGGGTGAACACGGATGCCTGCTGGTGTACGTGACATGACATACCTGTGTGTTTGAACTCCATTCTCCTGGGGGGGTCTCGCCTCGGTTTTCCCGATCCCCTGACTTTTGCTGGTGTCCGAGCCAAGCCCTCCGGTGACCTTCTGATTTGCCTCTGAAAATTCCCCAGAATGATCAGAATCAAAGCCTACACAAGACAAACAAAATGAGAAGTTTCTCTGGAGCTGGAAGATGTCAAAGTCCACCTCCGAAAGTCTACTGTTTGGCTATGCAAGCAGAAAGCCTGAAGCCTGAAATGGCTTTTAATAGACACATTTCAGAAGAATTCACTCTGCTTCCCAAGAAACACAGGCGATGGCAGTGAAGCAGGAGCATGTAAGAGCGCCCGCCCTCAGGGGCCTTTCAGACTCCGAGTTCATTCCGTGCTACGACGGAGACTTTGCTAGGACCTGAGGCTCAGCGGTAGGCAGTTTTCACTCACACGCTATGGTCTACAGTTCACTTTCCTTCGACTCACCTGTGACGGCATCGAAGAATTCCTCCTCACTGTTCATCCTTCAGCAGCCTGCTCCTTCTGCCGCCCCTGTGTGGTCTCCTATGGGATCATGGTGTCTGAGCTACATCTGGAGCACAGGGAATCTTATCCTTGGCACCTGTTCTTGGTGAAAATCCAAGAGGCACTGGAGGTCTAGAGGGGAAATCATTTGGCACACTTAGCATTCAGAAATGTTACGGTTTAGAAACGTTTTTTAAATTCTCCATTCACTGTTCTTGAAATCAATCTCAATTACATCTAAGCAAAGAAATAAAATTAATGATAACAAATAATTATTTCAAAAATATACCTGAGAGAAAGTATACATAACATAAAGGCCAATCAATGAATAATAGATGAATAAATAATCATTATTTGAAGAGGATAAAGCAGATAATTTGGGAAAAGTCACAGAGTGTGGTGTTTTTCATGGCGGAGTTCCCTTACAGGTGTTCAGACACATCTCAGGAAGTTTTACTGAAAGTCCCTGCAAATCTTTATCCGAGGTGAGAAAGAACGGTTCTAAATAAAGGGAAAACCGTGTTACAATACCGATGTTTCACATCTACCAAAAACCGATTTCCAACTCTAGAGGATCGACATCGCAGTGTAAGCGAGCTGCTAACAGATACACTGAAGTAAGCCAAAAGAACAAACAGGTCTGTGTTGGAAGAAGTACAACCAGAATGTTCCTTAGTAGAGAGGGTGGCGAGACTACGTCTCACACACTTTGGATGTGTTATCAGGAGGGAATAGTCCCTGGAGAAGGACATCGTGCTTGGTAAAGTAGAGGGTCAGGAAAAAGAGGAAGGTCCTCAACAAGATGGACTGACACAGTGGCTCCAACAATGGGCTCAAGAATAACAACAATCGTGAGGAGGGCGCAGGACAGGGTAGTGCTTCGCTCCGTTGTGCAGAGTCGCTGTGAGTCGGAACCAAATCGACAGCACCTAACAACAGCATGAAGAGCAGTGTCTTATACATGGCATGAGACTGGATCAAAAAGTCAGCCTTGTCCCAAAAGGTTTCACATTTTCCTGAAAATAAGTTGAGTTCACAATATAGAAGACAAGCCCCAGAGCACTCCATGTCTGCTCTGAGGTAGTGGAGGAGTGAGGGGAGAAAGGAGGGCACTCCCGAGTAAGGGATGTACCTTTTGTCCTGGGGGTGGCCACAGTCAGTGCTTGGTGACACCCCCAAAGTGTCTCCACTCTAATGCTCCGCCCGCAAAAACGAGGCTAAAATGGCAGCTGCACATACACAAGCTCCTAAGTTATAGGAGAAGTCAGCGTGAAATCCTCTCTTCCTTCTTTCCCTGAGAGACTCGTCAGCATCTCCCTTCTCTCGCCCACCCCGCAGCCGCCCCCTGGGAACTGGGCAGCCGCACAGCTCTGAACACACCGGCACAAAGAGACTGGCTCCGCAGGTCATGACTTTGTTCTTCAGATGTCATTATTACTAACTCGTAACTCCTCTCTCACATCACACGCCATCCACAACATCCATCAACTCACTCTGCCCCTTTAAACAGCACGAAGGGACCAGGGCTCCCTGGAGAAGCAGCTGAAGGAGGGACTGGGACCATCCCACCTCCTCCCAAGCAGAAGGAAGCCATTCAAGACCATGGGGTCACACCAAGTAAAAACCGCGGTAGACTACAACACCACGAGTCTATTCAAGCCCATGGTTCATGAAGATACCGAGAAGGAAATGAACTGGCCACCCCTGGGTGACACCAGGAAACCAAGACATGGTTTTGAAGCTGTTGATAAAAGGAACCCACCGGGCTTCATCCTGCCTTTCCTAGCCACGCTGCACAGACCACTGCACCACTAAATCCTAGATGAAGGGAGTTTCTCTTCATCCAAGTGCTCCAGCTAATCCGTGAAGAAGGAATGGGCACAGGGCCCCACCAATGTACAACACCGAGGGGTTCATGGACCATCGGTGGCTGCAGCCTCCACACACGTGTAGAAAGAACTCACCACCACCTCGGGAGCAGTCTTGCGGAGGAAATCAACCGCCATCCGGCCCAGCCTCTAGATTTAACTACAGGAAGCACAGAGGAACGTGCTAGGCTACACACCACGGGGATGCCGTCAGCAGGATCCAGACTCTGGGAAACTCTCCAGGACAAAACCTAGCTTCTTCAACAAATAAATGACGAAGGAAAAACAGAGAGAGCGGCCTCGAGAGGCGGAGTGGCAGTTCACTACCTTGACGGAGGAGATGGTTTCACGGGTGCGCACGTCACGGCAGACCGTGTCGTAAACTCTACATCACGTCATACTGCGTCCTGGGGATACAACCAGCAAAATCCAGACAGGACACAACCCACATTCTTTAACAAACAAATTACAAGAAAGAAAAGAGAAAAAGAGAAGTAGAAGGATATTTCACTATCTTGAGGTGACAGTCTCATGAGGGCCTACATCCATCAAAACTTATCAAACTGGACACCAAATATGTGCCGTTTACCGGGTATCGGTAAATCCCTCCAAAAGCTACCGAAAACAAAAGACACAACAACGAGCGCCTGCGGCAGGGCTCGCTCAGGCCCAGACAGACGCGAACCCGCGCAGACGTTGACGCGACAACTGGAAATCGGAACAGACGGACGACAGTAACAGATACGATTACTTTCTAAGGTACCATAATAGCATTTTTTTAAGATCTACACACTGAAATATTTATGGGTGGAAATGATATAATGTCTGGGACTTTCTTGAAATAAATGGGCGGGAGTGGGCGGGGATAATTCACAGAACAAGATGAGCCACGAGCGGGTGAATTGCTGAAGCTAGGGAACGGGCACACGGGGACCATGACACTGTTCTGTCTACCTTTCTGCGTGTTTAAAGTTTCCCATAATAAAAAGCATGGTAAAAGGAGACACCACAACACAGCTCCTAGAGTGGCTGAAATCCAAACACCACCAGTTGCTGACAAGGATGTGAAGCAACAAGAACTCTCACTCACTGCTGGTGCGAATGCAAAATGGAAATGCGAAACTTTGGAGGACAGTCTGGCAGCTTCTTACAAAACTGCACGTAGGTTGACCATATGATCCAGCAATCACCTCCTAGGTATTTACCCAAATGAGCTGGAAACATACGTCCACATAAAAACATGCACACACATTTATAGCTTTACTCATAATTGCCAAAAATTGGAAGCAACCAAGACGTCCTTTAAAAGGTGAACGCATAAACAAATTCCAGCACATCCATACGATGGTGTATTATTCAATGAGGAGAAGACTAAAACAGACTAGAAAGAAAGCCCTGGTGATCTACTTCCAAAAATTAGCCTGTGGAAACCTCATGGATCACGACAGAATATCGTCCAATAGAGTGAGGGAAGATGAGCCCCCTAGATTGGAAGTCACTCAAAATACACACTGGCTGCATCAATGGACTTGAGCATCCCAACAATCCTGAGGATGGCACAGGACGGGGCAACGTTTCACTCTGTTTTACACGGGGTCATCATGAGTTGGAGGCAAACGGACGGCAACCACCACCAACAATGAGAAATGAGCTGGGAAAAGACATGGAGGAACCCTAAGTGCATATTGCTAAGTGAACAAAGCCCGTGAGGAAAAGGCACATGATGTACAATCCCAACCACAGGACGTTCTGGAAAAGGTCCGACTATAGAGACCGTGAAAAGATCACTGGTTGCCAGGGGGCCGGGTGAGGGGTGAGTAGGGAGAGTACGGGGCATTTTCAGGACAAGGACACTATCCTGTAGGACACTGTAATGGTGGGCCCAGGACATTGCACGTTTGTCAAAACCCACAGGGCTGTGCAACACAAAGCATGGACCCCACTGTGAACTATGGACTTGAGTTAATAATAATGTATCAATACTGGTTCATCAGTTGTAACAAATGTACCACAGGAACTCTAGATGTTCGTAACAGGAGAAACTCGGGGCAGGGGGCGCTATATGGGAACGCTGTTGAGAGACTCGATCAAATCCACTGTCAAAAATAACCAAATATCTGTTTTCCTGACACCAACTCGGAGGAGACAGCACGTCTCTGTTCACGTCTCTGCTGTTCTGACCCCAGCTGCCATGCAGCACTTCATTCCCTGGCCCTGGCCACACCAAGCTAGGGCAGGTCTTACAAGTTAAAGGAACACTGCCCTTCAGATGGCCAAGGAGGCCCAAGACTCCAGAAGCCAGTTGCAAGTTGGGCGGTCCACACGACACCCTCACTCTACCTGCAGACTACAAACTCAGGGTTCCACACAATGGAATACTATACAATAATAAAGAACAACGATGAAGCTGTGAAACATCACATGGAGAAAGCTGGAGGTCATTATGCTGAGTGAATTTAGTCAGCCACAGAAGAACAAATATTGTATAAGACCACTATTATAAGAACTCAAGGAAAGGTTTAAACACAGAAGAAAACATTCTTTGATGGTTACGGGGGTGGGGAGGGAGGGTGAGGGGTATTCACTAACTAGATAGTAGGTAAGAATTACCTTAGGTGAAGGGAAGGACAGCACATACTACAGGGGAAGTCAGCACAACTGGACTAAATCAAAGCTAAGAAGTTTCCTGAATACAATCAAACACTTTGAGGGACAGAGTAGCAGGGTAGGGGTCTGGGGACCATGCCTTCAGGGGACACCTAGGTCATCTGGCATAACAAAGCTTATTAAGAAAATGTTCTGCATCCTACTTTGGTGAGTGGCTTCTGGGGTCTTAAAAGCTTGCAAGTGGCCATCTAAGATGCATCAATTGGTCCCAACCACCTGGAGTAAAGGAGAATGAAGAACACCAAAGACACAAGGAAAGTAGTAGCCCAAGAGACAGAAAGGGCCACATAAACCAGAGACTTTGTCAATCTGAGACCAGAAGAACTAGATGGTGCCCAGCTACCACCAATGACTGCCCTGACAGGGAACACAACAGAGAGTCCCTGATGGAGCGGGAGAAAGGTGGGGTACAGAACTCAAATTCTAGTAAGAAGACCAGACTTAACGGTCTGACTGAGGCTGGAGGCACCCCGGAAACCACAGCCCCTGGATTCTCTATCAGCCCAGAACTAAAACAATTTCCGAGGCCAACTCTTCAGAGAGGGACTCGACTGGACTGTGGGACATAAATGGATACTGGTGAGGAGTGTGCCTCTT